TGTGGTATGAGATGGACACCACCAGTGTTGGAGGGGGAAGGACTGTGGTGTGATGCCACATTCCCTCACTGGAGTGCAGTTCTAGCCACCACAGCTAAAACAGATGTTCAGAATTTGCATAGCAATAAATACTGTTGTTTAGTAAGCAGCAGCTTCTGTGTGAAGCTCATGTCAGTTCTGTCAGGCAGAATATGAAACTTTGCCATAAAGGAATAATTAATGCTCTCTGATGGCATTAATGATGGCCTACTGTAACAAAGACCTCTGTAGGAAAGGAAACAGGGCATTATAAACATAACCTCCTCTGTCTCCACTACTGAAGTCAAGTAGCAAGTTGTATATCCTGAATGCCAATGGGGAAGTACTGCACCATGCTTATCATAACAGATGAAGTGGCTCTAAAAGTAGCAGCAGCAGCAACATGATTAATGTATTCTCTAATCAACAGTATGCAGGGAAACTGGTTCCCTAGTAGTCCCTATAGGCAAACTATTATTTTTATCCATTTTTATCCAAGTGCTTTAAAAGCTAAAGCAATTACAAATTCTGAAGGTTGTGTCTATTACCATTTCAACTATATTTACAAGCACATATTAGGATACTGAAGGAAAAAGTCTAATGAATTGAGTTTCTCTTCAGAGGCAGCTCTTTGAAAAGTAATGCAAAAAATACTTTTTAAACTTTTACTACTTAGAAATACCCTTGTTTTTCCTTTTGCAGCCTACTAATGTTCGTGCTGGACATAATTATGGTGACTTGGATCCATTTAAATTTCGTTGGCTGATTCCTTTATCTGCTCTTCAAGTTCGACTGGGGAACACAGCAGGTCAGTCCCCTGCACTGAGTACTTTTCTGGGATTCTGTAATACTGCTTATTCCCTATGCCTTTCTGGAGCCTCTGGAAACAGTCAGGTGTAGAGAAAATGCCGTCATCTTTACACTCAATACATTAAGACACTTTCTTCATTTGGTATGGCTTCTTCCATGAGTTCAACATGATGTGAAGGAATGACAGAATGGAAATCCTGATGAATCGATAATGTGAACAGGAAGGTGATGTACCATGGTTGATTGACATCCTGGTGTTGCCCTTATGCTGTGCATGTGCTGACCCTTATGTTTTTCCAAATGTGAGAAAGGTGCTTGTGTAATTTGTGGTAGTAGGCTGGGTGTTTATTTTCCCTCTGCATTGATCTTTAGGCCTTTGAGGGCTGAAAGGCAGCAAGAAGCATTAAGAACAAGGGAAAGCAACTCTTGAAGAGAGGTTAAGTTACCAAAGGCAGCACTGGCCAGGATGCTGCAACAGGATAGTTCAGGGGAGTTCCCTTCAGGTTCTACGTTGGGTGAGATCATCTGTGGATCCATCCATGCCTATGTTAACACTGTCCTGAGAAGAGGAGCTCTACACTGGTCTTTCTAATGCCAAAGGTTTTGTGATGTATATACAAAAATAATGTTTCTTTCCATGGACAGGAACAGAGAACAGCTGTATCTGGGAACTGATTCACACGAAGTCAGAACTAGAAGGCAGGCCAGAAACCATTTTTCAGTTGTGCAGCAGGTAAGCTTTACATGGAGGTTGTATTTGACAAATCACAGTAATGGAATTGAAAAAATACAGTATTTTCCCCCATGTGACCTTGCATTAGCACTTCTTATGCAACTCTCACTCTTTGTATCCAGGCACTACGCCAGTGTTTAACTGCATAAAGTATAACAATTGGGAATGGAAGTGGATTTGGTTAGTGATCCAACATGAGAAATCTGCACAAAAGTATTACCATAAATTCTAGTACAATATGGGCAAAGTAACTGATTTTATCAGACTCAGCAGAAACTGCCTTCTGATAAATACCACTTAAGGGGTGATCCACTGGTACAGAAGTTACCTTTCAGGCTTTTTCTAAAGGAAACTAACCAAGATCTCAACCACAAAGTGTGTGAAATGGCTAACACCACACAGATGTTATCTCAAAGCCTACTCTAAAGCAAACTACTGAAAAAACACTGCCTTAAAGCACATCAGCAGAAAGAAGGCAGATTTTATCCCAATACTGTCTTACTTCAGAGGGAAAAATTAGGTTCTGTTTTCTTAAACTTGCAGTGACTGTGAGAACAAGACTAACATGGTGAAGGTGATCCGTTCTATTTTGCGGGAGAATTTCAGACGCCACATAAAGTGTGAGCTACCGCTGGAGAAAACATGTAAAGATCGCCTTGTCCCACTCAAGAACCGTGTACCTGCAACAGCCAAACTGGGTAAGAAATGTTCTTAAAGTTGAAAAATAAGCATCTGGACTCCAGAGCTGGCAAAAGGTTTGCAATTATTACCACTACCATAGTGTGTTATGTGCCAGATCCACAAAACCCATTTCTTTTTCGGTCTGGGGAGGTAGTAAGTGTTTCTCCATGTCAGTAATTGACAAGAGCTAGATGAGATAAGAAAGCTTGCCATTCCCCCCCCACACTGTGATGTGTCATTAGCTGACTTAAGGGAAGACTGAATAAACCCCAAATTAATTTTAGTGGGAAGAAAGACTCCCTTTGGCATGCAGGATTAGTGTTCTTTTCTCTGGGATCTTTAGTAACTCAGCCCTAACATTTAAAGCTAGAAGAACTGGCAAAAGGCAGGGGTCTTGCTTCTCCCAATGCACTAAATCCACATCCCAGCAGACGCTTCAACTAAGTACAGGTTTTCAGATATTTTAGTTAAATGTTTTCTAGTATTTCATGTTCTCCATTTTCTATAAAATCCCTTAACATCACAGGAACTGGGACAGTTCAACTCCCACCTACAATCTGGCCCCCCAGTGCTGGAGGTGCCCGAATCAACCTTGCTCTCCTGCAGATGTGCATAAATTATTACTACAGGTTTTGGAGGATTTTGTATCCATTTCTCATGAAGGCAAGAATATAGCCCAGGGGTAGGTGGAATGAAAACTCTGACATGGGATCGCACTGTTGGTATCAGAATGTTGACACAAATGACCTGGGATGATTATCAAACGAGACTATGTTCAGTGTAATTGTAAGTGGGCTGTTGAGACAGCCAGTATAACCAGCGGATGTTTTGCTGTAAAAATAAGCCTGCCTTCTTCCTCTGCACAGCTTCCACCAGGTCCTTGAAGGTACTGAAGAATTCACCCAGTAGTGAGTGGAATGGTGACCCAGGGAAAGGCACCTTCCAGGACTCTGATGAGTGCAGCCTGAGCAGCAGTACTCAGAGCAGCAGCTGCCACACTGCAGAGAGCATACAGGAGCCCAAAAATTCATCTCCAAATAAACACGTAGAGAGCTGTGCATCCGACTTCTCTAGTGCTCTTGTCAAAGAATCTGATATTCTCAGTGATGACGACGATGATGATGATGACTACCAGAGCCTAAAGAAGGGCAGCCCTACAAAAGACATTGAAATACAGTTCCAACGGCTGAAGATTTCTGAGGAACCGAGTACTGACTCTGAACGGGATCAGGCTGCTGAAAATGAGGAAGGAGATAGCTTTGAGACAGGAGAGCATCCAAAGCTGGTGCGTGGCCACTTCTGCCCAGTGAAGAGGAAAGTAAACAGCACAAAACGTAACAGAGGAACGTTAACGGCAATGCAAGAACGTCACCAGTCCCTTGACAGTCACTCTGATGCTGCAAACCTGGACCTGAACTCTATTTTAGAGAGAGAATTTAGTGTCCAGAGTTTAACATCTGTAGTTAACGAGGACTGTTTTTATGAAGCTGTAGAGAAGCATGGCAAATCCTAGATTGCTAAGCACTGTATTTAAAATACTCATTTGAAGTCCACATAAAATTCAACCAACCTACTTTGCTTTAAAACTATTAAATTCATGGAAGCTGCAGGAAAACTATTCTGATTTTGTGCACTAATTCATTTTTTTTCCACAAAGACAGCTGTAAAGGATTCTTAAGTTATTTTAATTTATTGTGGATCAAAACAGATTAAGTTGGCCAAGGTCTGTACATTAGTTCATCCCTTTCAAGCAGTTAGTAAGATGATGTAGTGTTCTTGGGGGAGGGTAAGGGAAGGATGGCCTCATTAGTATTTTCAGTACAGTGAAAGGTGCTAGTGAGTGGCAGAGGGAATTAGAATGGGAAGTAGCATTGCAAGACAAATTTTTCCATACCTTGGGCATTTTATTTCTTTGGTTTTCATTTTTGCTTTATTTAAAGCAGAATTAAGTTATTTTAATGTGGTTCAGTGCACAACAGTGCAGAAATTTCATTTTTGTAAGTTTCAAGATGCTGTTTATACTTTATACATATGTGTAAATACAGAAACAAAGCTTGGCTTGTAATCACTTATTTGACTGTATTTTTTATTTTCTCTACTACCCTGTACAGTAAAAGACAAATAAGTATTGTACTTAGCCATGTTTTCTACTTTTTATCATGCTGCTTTTCTTGTTGAAGCTGTAAATCCCCAATTCTCTGCTTTTGCATAAATGAGAAGAATATTAATAGGCCTTGAGGCAAACTGCACACTTTATCCTCCTTTAGGCCTGTCACTTCAGTATATTTATACAAGAGTTTTGACTTTTGTTTTCTAAATTATTCTGCATGGTTGTTCCAGGATGAAAAGAGCAGAAAAAAACCCCCAATCATCATCTTACATGCTAAAGTATGAAAAATATTTTTTTCTTACTTTTAAATCCTGCACTTTCTTTTATACAAAACTCGACTGTATTAGAAGTATGCTAACTTAATGACACGTCTCATAACATACCACGTTCTTAGTATGTGTTCTAGCCATTCCCCTGAAGTAAAAAGAACTTGTAGGCCCCTTGTAACTGGGCTGTTCTTTCACTTTTGTCTACAGCTGAATGGAATTAATAAATAAAATGAGAAAGCCCACTCTCTCCACCACTTTCTCCAAAGTATTTCTTCCATACCTGCACAGATGTAGGACTATATAAACTTCCTTTTACTTAATCAACACCTCTCCATCAGGGAGTTAAAGAAATCTCTTTTAAAAATCAGTCCACTGCTGATTACAGCTGATTTTCTTCTTCAGTGTGTTCAGGCTGATTTGTACTTTTAGGTGAATTCCTCCTCTTCTTTTGCTGTAGTTCTTCTCTGTAATTGTACACAAAAAGACCTGGGTCATCATCACACATTTTCCTGTATGTATTGCACAGATTTCTAAACTGTGACATGGAGAGCTGAAAAGGACGCAGAGTTGGATCAACATTTGCTGTCATCATCAGCTGCTCTGTTCTTTTCAAACGTCCACTTTCAGGAAACAAGGTCCTAAAAGGTGTGGGGAAAAAGACAAAAATGCAGACAATTCAGTTCCACTTAAGAATAACAGGGTCCCCTTGGGAATTTATTTAGTATAGGTTTACTATTTGTATGTCATTATTTTAGCGCAGGCCTTCTTAATATACAGCTCATTATCTAAGCAAATAGCAACATGTACAAGCCTTTTCTCTGCTGATACAAATTATAACAACATAGGAAAGTATATACATACATTGTACATTAAACACATGCATGTATGGGTATGGATACAGTCACAGAGCCTTCTCAGAATGAGCCTCACATTTACAGAGTAACAACAACTGTGCAAAAAAGATCAGATCCCAACCATATGAGTTTCTTTCAGGCTAAGTGTTTCATTCCAATGGGAAAGATCTTGTTATCACATGTCATTAATACAGTAATTTGAATGCCAGAAAAAAGAAGGAGGAAAGGTGTATTTATTATAACTCACTCTCTAATATTTAGAAGTTCGAGAAATATGCCAGGAATCCCAGTATTTGTTTTCAGCTCTGTCACTGTGCACAGATAATTGTTTCCATTAATTTACTTTGTGGTTAGATCTCTACAGTTCCCCAAATTTTAATGCATAGTATTAGTTCGAGTGATCTTTAAGTTTTGCCAAAATGCATACTATAAAACTGAAACTATTGACAGTACTAGCTGTCTAGTTCTTATTAGCAGTATTCTACAGTCTACAACAGGCCAGGAAGGCACATAATTTGCACATGGTTGATATGCATCTAAATTTTCATATTATCTGCCTCTGTCATACACACACACAAGACCTACAAAATCTTCATTTAATAACAAAAACACGCATGCCCAAGACTCCAGCTGTGTTTGGCAGGTTGGCTAGATAAGCTAATCAAAAGCCTTCATATAAGTGATAGTTGGCTCTTGGTGGGCAGACAGAATATGAAGTTAAGAAAGGATTTAAAGTAACAAGAGAAGGATGGAACTTCTGGGAACAACCTGGTCTAAAGTACATGTTACTCAAGGCATTGGTCAAAAATGTCCCCAGTAGTTTAGTGACTAGGTCATCAAGTTTTAAATGGATTAATCCTTATTTTGCTATTAAGTTATTCTCTCCTTTGATTTGGTACTTAAAAGATGTATCTGGAGCCAAAAATGTGTAATCACATTTTATATACAGACTATGCATAAGAACTATCTTATGCATGTCCATGAACAGCAATGTAAACTTCAATTATTTTTTCCTTCATGGACTTAACAGTTTAATCTTCCAGACCATGTCTGTCTCAGATCCCAGAATTTACGGACAAATGTAAGCCAATTCTATTATCTTGTTTTTATACAGTATATATGATAGACAGATACCTTATAACAAACTTAACAGCATTATTATAGACCAAACTTGTTTTTTTCAAGTCAGCTAAAGAATCAAGAGGATTGTATTTCCTGGCTGCACACTAGAGGCTAAAGTATGATAAGCTGCTAGGGCATATGCCATGTCCAAAAGTTCAGATTCCCTCTCCTTGCCTCAAAAGAATGCATCCCAGTTGTTAGCAATTTGAGATTACACCAAAACTGTTGTTTTTTTTTAAAAACTTTGGCAAAAATATTCCATGTAACACAGACATGCTGACTGCATGTACCCTCTGTTTACATTATCAACTGAAACTGCTCTTTCACAAAAAAAAAACCCAAAACACAACTCTTTGAATCAAACACAAGCCTATCTAGAGCTCAGATACCTCCTTTTCTAGCCACCTCCAAATGCATTCTCAAACCTTAACACAGGCAACTTGATACTCTTTCTAGGACAAATGCCTGCATCCCAGACAGCAACAGCATTCACTGCCTAAAGCAAAAAAACCACACAACAAAACTAGAGGTAAAATTCTACGTTCATCTTTAAAATAGTGACATAGGAGGCTTGTAGTTCAGTGAGGTGGCATGCACCATAATTCTAGCCAGCATCAAGGCCGAAACCATGCCCACAGAATTTAGCTGTCCCAAGCTGGACAGAGTGTCTCTAGTCCTAACAGCAGCTCTGTCATACATTCTACAATGTTGAATGCTGGGTTTTCCCCATACCAAGTCACACATAAGGCAATGCTGGAGTTCTAACAGGATCCTTGGTGGAACAACGGCAGGTTTCTTGCATCAGTTAGAGAACAAATAATTCCCTCAGTAAGAGATGGGGATTTTTAAAGAGTCAGTAAGAATGTGGTAAAAGGGTAAGACCAGAAACAAGAATTTGACCTTTTGACATTAAGCCCAAATAAGTAAAACTTGCCACAGATCATGTTCTTTTTAATTCAACCAACAAATGCTGTAATATTTTTTGGGAGGTTTCTTTGTTTGTTTGAGATGGACAAACTATTAGAAAGATCACCAGCTTATCCTAGTAATTTTACAACTTCAACTGCAATAACAAAAATGCACAATACTTATATAATAATAGGAGAAAGAGATTAATCTTATATTTTTGTCTCTGGAAAAAATTCTGAAATGGAAAGATCTTACCAACTATGACATTTAAAATGGGAGGAATAAAATCAAATGCATAGCTACTAGTGTTTCTCAACAGATTCAGTAGCTGATGCATTTGCACAAACACTAACTGAGAATTTTTCATTAAAGGTCCTTACTCAATCCCACGGAAGCAGTATTTTCTTCTGAACTGGAAAACACTTCGAACCACTTTTTCTACTAGTTCGAATGGCTGCTCTATCTTCGGTTGCACCAATGGAGTGAAATGCACCACAGCCACATCCACCTATGCAGAAAAGAAAGATAAATTTTAGTAGATGTGTTCCTCTGAGATACATTATTTCTAAGTTAACCAGCTAGACATCAGGAAACAGGCACAACACAGGAAGACACTGTTGTGACAGGTAACATAGCTGTGCAGTAACTAATGTCACAGTATTGGAAATATAAAGACTTGGCTTATCTTTCAAGGCCCTAGGGAATTTTAGTCTTAGTTATCTACATATTTCCAATTAGTTCACATGCCATTAGTACTTTTTTCCCCATGGCCCTTCATTCACCTATAACAACAACTATGTAATCTGTGAAGTAATTAGCACTTATTTCTTCAGATCCACAAGACAATTCTGACATGATACACAAATTAGACAATATTCAATATACAGGCTGAAGGGCAGTTGGAGAAAATTGCTATTATAATTAGAAATCAAGCCCATTCCCTATATGTTTTCTGTTGCTCTAGGGCATTTCTAAAATGGTAGCCAAGGAATTACTTTTCTACATACTAAAATTTTTAAATTATAGTCTGTTTAAAGGAATGGTAGGTAGAAATAAGCTTGCATTCAGTTCAAGTGACCATACAAACCAGAGTTACACTGTGTATCACAGGTCATACAAAACTACATTTAAATGATTCTACAATTATTTTCTGTCAAGCTCATTTTATTCTTTTGTAGTTCTAATCAGCCTGGTTCAGAGAATGATCACTTTCCCAGTGTCTGAAAATAGAATGAAGTAACATCATTCCTTCAGTGTACACATGTATACATGCAAAACACCTATATCCTGCAATTCTAGAGATACTGTATAATATAGAAATGCCCTGGATTCAGACTTCTGTAGTGCAACATACAGGCTGCTCTAAAAATCCAATTTGGCAGAGCACTGAATGAAGCAGTTCATCTTCCAAACTAAACCTTAACACTAGAAACATTCTATGGAGGAACACATGGAGCATTTGTGCAATTTTTACAAATACTGGTACTGAACGACTACAAAACATTTAAGTGCTAGACTTTAAAAAATATTCAGTCTCTTATTAACAAAATCTGCCAATATGATGAACAATCATCCATCTTTTTAAAAGGCCTGAAAATCAATACTGGCAGTCATCAAAGAGATTCTATGTGACACTAAATTGAAGCTGAGCTACTTCTGACTGAAATAAAAGATACGCTCAGACCAAAGAGCAGCTTCTGTTCTAGGCACACTGCAAGTGTATCAATTGTTTGAGAAAACCCACGGCAAGAGAGTACTTAAAAATGAGAGGAGTTTTTCTACTGCACTAACCAAAACTGGTTGGTTGTGGCTTTTGAAAAAATCAGTTAAATCATAGTAACCACTGATATGGACATACTCTTACGGCACAAAGGTGTTAACCAGCCATGTAGTACTTTAAGTGGAACAGCTTAGCTGGCTAGTACACCTATTCAGTACAACTGCTTCAACAGTAGAGGTACTGTATTTGCTTTCATCAGAAATTATGACATTTAAATAAAAGTACTTCATGTAGACAGAACTTATGAAGCTGAATGAAAAGACTGGTTAGAGAAAGGAAATAATGATTAATGCTGCTGATGATAAAAACCACAACAATTTTCTAGTATTAGCACTGCTGATCTCAAGTATGTTACAGATGATAGTATTTTTTCCTCTACTTTTCCCACTCTTTTGAAAGCAAAAGTCTAAGACAGAAAAAATACTTTCATTACTAAACTGTAAGGACACAATAACTTTTTTTAAAATTATGTGACAAAGGAAAACTGACATGGAATCTGCAGTTTAATATGCATAGATATATTTTCCAAAGCAGTTTCTTAATTGTGTTGAGAGCTTCTAATTTTGCCACAGGTTGCTGCTACCTGTCAAGAAGACCACAGGATTGCAGCAAAACCTTGTGTTCACACTGAGTGTCAGAAAAATTTATCTTTTTGAACTGGTCAAACACATACTTCACATGACCAAACAGCTGTTTAATACAGAAGTACTAAGGGCTTATTTACACATCTGTTTTTCTCAAGAAATAAAACAAGGTATTTCGCCCACAAAATTAGGTGTAAGAAAACTACCAGAGACTTTTTGGGATCTCCAAGTCACCTTAGGTTTCCAGAATTGCTTGTAAGAGCGATAGAAGGCTCTTTGGGAGTTGAAAATGCATCTTTAAGAAAAGAAAAAAAGACTAGACTCTAGAGGCAGTGTACAGTTTATGAGAAAAACAGCTCAATTTGCAATCTCAAGGCCAGTGGGCAGTAATTTCTGCTTCTGAAACAAAACACAACACTTCTCAGCATTTGTTCCATTGTAAATGCTGTTTTCTTTGGAGCCCAGGAAGGCTGCTGGGTTACTATAGCAACAGATGCAGGGGAAAGCTTTTCACTTGTAATTGGCCACTCCTTTAAAATTATACATGCTATTTGTCCTGAACCTTTTTCATATGCGTGCAGTAGAGAGTAGAATTATGAAAGCCAGTATAGTACACAAGAGTACTTAAAATACACAAGTTAATTTGTGGATAATTTTATTAACAACAGGTTTGTTTGGTTTTTTTTCCCCACTAAGTATGGTAGAAATATTTACAAAATAATACTCAATACTTAAAAAATAATAAATATGAAAATTATCCAACTGATACATCCTAAATTGTCAAGAGGACAGCAATTATTCACCCCTTGCTGTTCCAGTGTATCTGTACAATGAAGGCTTACGTTCTGATAGGGTAGGAGAAACACAAGACAGAACAGAATTTAATTCACAGAAGTCTGCTGCCTTGCTGATGAAATCAACACTACATCAGAACAAGCTGAAATGAAACAATTTTTACTAATTATTGACAATAAAGTTCTCATGATGGGCAATGTATACATCTTGCAACAGGGCTGTATTAAAAGCGAACCCACAGACCCCTTTTCAAGCTGTAATTTACTCATAGAGAACTGAAACCTAAGCAGAACCTACTACAACTTCATTTAAACAGACTGAGAACCTACTAACACAGTTCTAAGCCAGCACTTTGACCAACCAAGTATTCAGTGCCAGCATTTCATTTGTCTACTACAGACAAATGTTAGGTGTAACACCAGATTTGCGTATCTCGTAGCAATCTTGTTCCAGTGCAATGTTTTCATTTTGGTTCACTTCCAGCAGAAAATAACTGTGCCACCGCATTAAGAGCAATAAGAGTGTAAGAACTGCTTCGTAATAACTCCATTCACACTAGGCTCACACACAGAATCACAGGAAACCAGAAGTCAGGTACAGAACCTATGGATGTATCACAGCTACAATCAGCAAGACTTTTCTCCTAACTTCTTGATTTCACACACCAACTTGTCAGGGCTACTTCTCCCATGTGCTGCAGCTGCCATATAAGCCTTATTAGTAGCTTTTTTCTTCATTCTTTTACACAGACTCACACAAAGGTAATGAGTTATAAGGTGACCTACTGAAGGTTAAGACTATCAAGAAGAGCTATGCAAAATGTGTAATTGAAATGTCCTGCTCTTCCTATAATAAACTAAAATAGACTGCATAGTTCTCTCCTAGGAAATTTAAACTCTTAATAAGATTATCTGCAATGAAAACAACCCCACCACAAATAATAAAATCCTCTGGCTCTCAGTTCAATTTAAATGAAACCTACATTCTTCCCTTACCCCTTCTCTGCCCCTTCCCAAATCCGTAAGTCTACAAGAGTTTCTGCCTTCTCCAGATTTTTTACTCCTTTTAATTACTGTTCACAGTTTTCAACATAGAACCTGGATATCATTATGTATTTAGGACTAAGGGCCTTCATGTGTTTTTTTCCATAATCTCTTTGCTTTCCCTTACTGAGTGTTTGTCAAACAAAACTCATTAAACAAAGTACTCCTTTATTCTCGGGTAGATGGAACTAACAGAGGGAACAAACAGCAGTAATGCACTTGCTGTAGAGAACAGAAAAAAAACAACATTCCAAGAAATTTAGTAATACATGCCAATGCAGTTTTATATGAGAAAGGATAGCTTCAATTCAAGAGAAACTGCATTTTTCCAGGACATCTACAGCAAAGAAAACATCTCAGACCTCACATCCAGCAGTAAGTGCTACATGAACAAGAATGAAACATAACTGTATTTTTATTATACTTGCAGTGCTCATACTTGAATTTATCAAGCTTTTAATTTGGTTCATCTCTTTAAATGTAATGTATGACTATTTGCAGTTGCCTGCATTTATGTTTACATGTTCATATATACAGAAATTTTAAAAAGGAAGCAATGAAAAAAGCTAACTCAAGATCCTAATTAGCTGTTCCAGAATATGCTTTTGAATCAGGTTTGAGCTATCCAGACATGTCTGTTCCTTCTATAAAGGGAAGTTAAGCCATCTTTCCCATGGGCCCCATACAGCAAATTATGTGTATTTGCCAAAGCAGCTCTTCACAACCTGAACAAACTGAAGGGATCTGGAAATAGGCAGGTCTTTGAAATAAGATTTTAAAAATCAGTAGCTGTTAATGTACTCACTATAAGCATTCTCAGAATGTGTATGCTAGGTAGTTAGCACCTCCTTGAACAATGACCAGAACTAAGTACAATATATAAATTAGAGGGTTAGTTGGATGTAAAACCACTAGAGACTGATAGAATATATATTGATCAAAACCTTATTTTCCTACATACAATGAATTGAAATAAAAGCACAATGCTACAGATATTTTGTTACATTTATTTCAGCTATATCCTCTACTACTATGGCTTTTCAAAACCAGTTATAATGCTGAAGAACAATTTTAGTATTTTTGTTCATAGTTAGAAAGAATGTCTTAGAAAGCATAATGCAGTCTGAGGACCATTCTTCACCACTCTGATAAAAGACAAAACCTGGCAATTATGCAGCCACACTCGAAAGGCAGGACACCATTTCTGATCCTCATCGAGAGGTTTCAAACCTTTTTCTTCATCTGCTATTCCAACAGTCCAGCTGATGTAACAGCACCAATACTGTCTTCCCAGGTGCACTGTTATAAAATACTGCCTAAAGTGTTCTCATCTGTCAAATGAAATTTGACTCTCTATACAAGAATAGCAGGGAGGTTTCTTAATGAATTTTTTAAACTGCCGATTTGTGGCAAATTTGGAAATTATTTCAGACAGGTAAGTGACTGAATAAACTAAATGCGCTTACACAACTGAGTCGTTCCATATCAGTGTTAAAAGCAGTATTTTATGTTATACACAAAAGCCAACCACACTTGTGTTTTGCTCAATACTGCTGCTCTAAGTCAAGGACTGAGAATCCCTGACTGAAAATAAAATACTGATTTAGAAAAGCCATGTGATTTAATTGTGGAAATAATGCAAAAAATAGATTTGAAATTATTCTCCTTAAAAAACATGTAATTTCATAAGTTACTAAACAAAAGAATAGACAATATTTAAATAACTGAATTAAAGGGCTACTATTAACCATATTTTAAACAAAAGATATTATCAGTATTCACAGTTATAAAATAGTCAACAGGAGTTGACTGCAGCTATCAACACACCTAAAGAAGGTACTTGAAGAGTTAAATATATTTTCTGCTGCAGTGTTTTTCCTCACTGACTTCTAATCTGAAAGTTTCTAGTGTTCAATTTACAACATATATTTGTCTCCTAAGCCTGCAAGCTGTACACTACTACCAGAAACAACTCCAGTAAAATAGGTTTTGCTTGAAGGCTTGCAATCACATATGAAAGGGCAGCAGCTTCTTCTTACATGCAATTCTGCAACACTGTCCATTTGCCATTATTAATGTTCAAGTACCCTGTGTACAGCTGCTCAGCTGCTCTCATCTGCTGCAGGGTCATGTTCAGATACTCATTCAGATAGCTCTAATTTTAAATGCAAGCTTTTTTGTTTGCTGATTTCTTTTTCTTTCCCTCTTGCACTTCTCCTCCCCCTGCTTCCTCCCTATTACAGAGGGCTAGAGCCTTGGCTACGAAGCTACCAACCAGTGACACTCATTTACGAGAGAAATCGGCAGACAAAGGTGACAGGAGATAATCATCATGGCATCAGCAAGTCTGCAGTTCTTTGCTTTTATTCTGGCTTTGTTTGGTGTTTTTGGAGATATCACAGCCACCCTGCTACCAAACTGGAAGGTAAATGCAGATGTTGGTCCAAATATCATAACAGCTATAACACAGATGCAAGGACTTTGGATGGACTGCACATGGTACAGCACTGGGATGTTTAGCTGTACCCTGAAATACTCCGTTCTGTCACTCCCCATCTACATCCAGGCTGCACGGACCACCATGGTACTGTCTTGTATCCTATCAGCCTTTGGGATCTGCATCACTACAGTTGGAATGAAATGCACAAAGTTGGGAGGGGACTCTGACAGTAAAAGTCATGCTTGTTTTGCTGGAGGAGTCTGCTTCATTCTTGCAGGAATCTTTGGATTAGTACCAACATCCTGGTACACAAGAGAAATTATTTCAAGTTTTCTGGACGAGAACATTCCAGAGAGCAGTAAACATGAACCAGGAGGAGCAGTTTATGCAGGATTCATTTCAGCTGGGTTTCTGCTTATTGCTGGTGTGATCTTCTGCACCTCCTGTTTCAAAAAGCAGCCAGGAGCATGGATTTGCCCTCCAAAGCAGCACCATTTCCCACCCACGGAGCAAGAGAGCTACGCAGGTTACAACCTGAAGGACTACGTGTAAATACAGTTATTTCTATCCATTGAGGTGGTTTTGTTTGGTTTTGTGCTAAGTGTAATTTGATTATTTCTAAGAATGTATAACATAGCACTTAACTTTTCTTACATCTGTGTTGCAATTATATTTAAGCAAAGTATTCAAATTTATAGCGGCATCCATCAGAAGAAATAAGTAGGAAACTATGCTTATGTCTGGTACAAGAGTACTTTTTTGTTGATTTTCAAATAATTGTTTTTGACTTTCCAAGGAACATTTATTGAAGAAAAAGGAACTACTTACAACATAACTCGCAGTACAATTAAGGTAGTGATGGCTTGTTACAGCAAAGAAAACTATTTTCTACTTAGCAAATCAGGCTATCAAAAACATAACATTTCATAGCAGATTTATAATTTTTATCTTTAATTATGATATAAGATTAAAAACCCCACCATGTCTGTCCAAGCTGCCCAATTCAATAGTTATTAAGAGATGCATTTGCCTTTCATTTCATTTCCCATTTGCCTTGGTAACTAGATTACTTTAAGCCCTCCCCTCCACCCCCCCAAAACCAACCGACCAAAAACAATCCCACAATGAAAGCCCACAGCCCCAGACCTTAGCTGTACTGTATATTTTGCATATCAGGCTGAAGAATCAGCAGTACCATTCAGATCTTGCCAAAAATGGCTCTCAGATCCCCCAACTGCCACCTGCTGTGGGTTTCATTTGTTATTGTTAAAAGAAATGTCTACTAGGCATTCACCAATTGCTACTAATCTATCTCTACACACTGTACAACAACAGAAATGTAACCATGACTATGAAATCACCAGCAAACTATAACACATGGGATAGAAAATAAATATCTATGTTCCAGAAAAATCCAGAACTGTTCTGGATTATACTCATTTTTAACAGGTCAAATAATTAGCTACTGTTTACCATCTTCTCCACTCCTGCCCTTTTAAAATAACTTTTAATTATTCCAGCAGGGTTTGCTATGGGACCTTTCCAATGTATTCTATTACTGTAAAATGTAATATACAATGATGATAAAAAGACAGCTTCTTAATTTAAATTAATTTTCTTAATCCTTTTTGGATTTATAATCTTAGATTCTTTAACCTTTTCTTTCAACACACAGATTTTGTTTTGTATCGGTCATTGACAGAGTATGCTCTTCCTAAATGCTTCCCTAAACACAAATCAAACTGATGTTAATTTGCTAGCACAGGTACAGGAATGAAAAGGCAGTATGATACAGGTCTTTAAATTTAAGAATATGATAATGCTGGATGAGTCTTACAACAAAAACAACTGCTATTTATTTTACACATTTATATAATTTTCCACATTATTAGGCCAAAATTCACTAGAACTGTGTGGGAGACATCTTAACATTGCATGTATAGCTTGTTGGGAAAAGTAGGATCTTCTGTAACAGCATTTGAGGGACTAAAATGTTTTATGCATCTATTACATAAATAGTCTTTGTTCTCATATACGTAAAATGGAACTGCATATTGTTTGTATTACTACTGCTATGTATTTTCAGTTTCCTACATATTCATCAAGGAACTTGTTTTGTAATGCTAGTATCAGCAGCTATTCAGTACTGCAGAGACTCAACTATAACCAAAAAGTAACATTTCCTTTGCTCAAGACAGAATGCTGTGCAGCACCATTCCAGTCCATAAACCAAAGGTCTTTTATGTCTCAAAATTCATAGGTATTGTTGAAATAACATTCATTCATTGAGCAAATGAGGCAAACAACTCATTCCCAAAAATATGCACCTCCACCTTTAGTAAGGGGTTTGACACGACACTAAGCTGTGATCATTGCTAGGTACCTGAATTTAAACATTTGTAAAAAAAGAACCAAAGGCATTTTTACAGGAGGGCATATGAAAAAAGCAGTAATTGCATTCATCAGTTACATAAGCAGCAAAATTTTCTTCCTAGAACTTTGTACAGAAGCACATTCTTTGTGCACTTCTTTGTATACCTATGAAATAAAAATCAAGTACTGAGCCACTTCATCCACAATATGCTGCAAGAACTTTCCAAGGAAACAAAGATTCTATCCGAAACAGTAATACCTAAAGCCACAAGCGACTCTAGAGTTAAAAAGTCAGGGGCAAAACAGATCAACCTACAACAAGAGTTTGAAGAAAACAAAATACAATGAAACCAGGTGCCATGTCTGTCTGAAAAATGTGTATTATGTGCTTCTGCAACATAAGCAATACTTTAACTCAAAGAAATACATTCAATAAAAATAGGCTTACCTTTAGTGGTACTGCCTTTTGTATTCAACAGAGAACTGTCTGTAGGATCTGCTTATACTAAGATGTTTGTCACAACTCTATGAGTTACCTCTCAGCCAACTATGGCCTTTTCAGTACAGGAAAACGGGAATAACAGTTATAGCTTTCCAATTCTGAGACACAGTCTGCACATGACTTTTGTTTACACTAGCTCTACCATGTCCTCAAATTATTTCCACCATTGATAAACCATCACCACAGAACTGAAATTTGGCCTTTCTGAACAATATTTCACATATTTGTAAGTGAGGTGACATCCTGAAATTATTTTTTAATTCAGCTAGGATGCAGGAAATAAAACGCCACAACCCAAAACCACAAAGCAACTTATTAAGATGGCTTCAGCATTTTCATTTTTCTTCACAACAGACTGCTGCCATGACTAATACTTTAACATGTTTGAACAGTTCCTTGCTTAAAAAATACTAATAGTTTTAAACCATCATCAGAATATGCCCAGATAGAGGCCTGAAAATTGACTGTGATAAAAGAGAGAGAATGACCTTCCTAATGTTCTCAAGCGATAAGACTGAAGAGTGAAAAGACCAAGAAAAAGACTGTGATAATGGCGAAGGGAGATGAAGTGTTGACCCAACCAGTTTAAGAGGCACTTCATTTCTGAAACAGAACAGATTTCCATACACATTCAGGAAAAAAAAGACCCCACTTAATGCCAGGCACACATTATTACCACAGGAAAAAAAAAGTAAAAAAAAATATATTGTCTAAAATGCACTTTTAATGTATTAATTCTTGATTTCTGTAATCATCATGGCTGTTAATAAGAGAGTGGCAGTAGATAAGAAGACAGCAAAGAGACTGTTCTTTACTCACTCAAGAGCAGATACGAGGGAGACAAGATCGTTACATTTTTTAACAGGCAGTAGGATGTAGGTGATAAAGTGCTATAGCAAAGAGGAGGGAGTTAAACATGCTAAAGCTGAGTAGGGTGAAATGCAAAGATTAGACATGGTAAAATTAGAGATCTTTGAGAAAGATGAAAAGTTTTACTTATCAGGGTCTTTCTAAAGACTCATCAAATTTTCTATGCACAATTCCCAAGCCATTTGCAAATGTAGAACAGCAGGCTTTCCAGAGATGGTACAATCCTAGCAGACTACCCTGTCATTAAGTCCCAATCTCCTTTTCCAGAAACACCCAAAGAAGTACACTGATTTTGCAGATAGGCTTGAAGGTCAAAGGCAAATTTTGAGGAACCAAAATGAAAAGCATCCTGCTGCAGCAAGTATGCTTTGATTACAGGAATATCACATCACCCTGAGTTGTAATACGGAGACATTGAGCTCCTAAATTCCTTACTGAAAATCAGATGTTTCTTGACTGATAAATTAACAAAAAAACCACCAAAGAAACACATCAGAACTTACCTCTGGCTTTGGAACAAAGGCTTGACCTGGAATTACGAAACAGTTTTCAACAGTGCAGAGATACTGAGACATGATGGACAGCCTGCTACGCTGCTTCGCTCCTGGATTAGCTATAAGCCTCTATTGAAGAATTAAAACATATAAATCAGTGAAACTGAATTGACCAAGTGGTCAGGTACATTAAAGCTTTATTTTCAGTATAATCAAAGGCAAATATAAATAAAAAACCCCACAATTAATTGTTAAGCACTCATATCAAAGCTTATCTCCAGTTCATCTAGATTTTTTTTCTCCAATACAGCAGCACTTCACTAAGGCATCATACTAATTTACCACCTCAGTCCTGCACTCAAATGCACATGAAAAAGAGCTCCTTGAACTTCTGCAGACCTTAATGAATGTCAAAATCATGGCATATGGGCAAAAGAGAAACCTAAAACTATTCTGATTGCAGGTTTCAAAACAAATATAACACCTTCTGACAGTATGCTCACATCCTTTCCTTCCACTGTTTCTGAGTCAAGTACTACTACTTTTTCTCCTTGAAGAGGAAACAAAGCTCCATAAACTCAAAATCAGATAGAACCCAAAATTTCTTCATTATTAACTACTCTACACTTAGAATATATGCAAGGAAGCTGTATCTACTTTACATAAATTTAGAATATCTGTGGGAAACGGTAACAGTAAGAGCATTTAACTATTAAAGCTTTATTTAGTAATTCTCTGATTTTCCCAAGAAATTTCTTACAAAGATTATAAAAAAGTAGCCTAGACAGATGTTTTCTACAGTTTCATGGCCTTGCAAGAAACATGCTCTGTGTATTTCACTAGCACAAACAAGATTTAAATGTAAAAAAGCACCCAGTAAAACAAGTCTCCAATTGTAAAAGACATGACAGTGGCTGTGCAGAAACAGAATTTTAAAGCTCCTTGCTCTTATTTGCCCTAAACCTTAAAAGAAGAGAAAATGAAAACAAATTTGTTATCTGTACATCACATAGCTTCAACTGAAAGGCCTATTCAGGAAATGCTACCACGCTTATTAAGACTATTAAAAAAAATAAAAATCAAACCTATTGCTGAAGTTTTAAATTGTATTTAAACAACCCTGCTGAAATGCAGTTGAAGTATCAGCATAAACCAAATAAAACATTTTCAACAACTTTTCAGAATGAAAGCTCTATGATCCTTTTTGCCTACATCAGCATTTAAAACTACCTTAATTATTGTTTCAGAGAAAACCTACTAAAAAAAATAATCTATTTGTGACCATGATTATTCTCTGAAAAAAACCCAAACAAAACTAAAACAGGCTGTGAAGTGTAACAATGCAATCAGATATGCACTTCCTTAACCTCTCCAGTGGAAATGAAACAGAACTAATAACAATCTTGTAATCTTTCTAGTGCCAATTCAAACAAGCCACTCTTTGCTTCCCACAAAAACAATCTAAAGAGCAGCAGCAACTTATTTATTATCTGTATTACACTGTTCTCTATTTCCTAGTACTGAATAGGCCTGTATGTGCCAAATTACAATGGTTAACATAAGCAATTGCAGCAAGCCAGAAAAAATAACAGATTTTTATTATTATCCTTTCTCCTAACCATAATACAATATAGCTTCTCTCAAAGAATTTTTAATTATGTAAAATCAATTACGGAAATGCAAAGGAGAAACTATAAAAAATGTTGTCCTCAGTGGAAGACCTGTGTTTAGTAAGACCTAGAAAGAAACAGAAGATCCCAGAATGTAAAATCAACAGTTAACACTGACTCGTTCATGACGTTAAACAACATACTCAATTTCCTAGTGTTTCTAAGCATTCTAAGAGTGCATGGTATTTTACATCTCATTGGGCTGTGCTGGGTGCAGCAGCACTGTAATCTGCATGTCACCAATGGTGTATGCAGCTGGTTACAGCTATATAAAGGACAGAGCATATTTACGCTCTCACACAATGTTAGGCCAAATTTTTCACTGCTGTCATAAAACTCTGCATCTTACACACATCATTTTGCATTTTACATCACAGTCCCTTACCCATATTTTGCAACAAGGTCTAATCTCAAATGACATGAGGAAAAGGGATTTGGAATTTTTAATGCCTGAAACCACATGAGCTCAGAACTGAATTAAGAAATCTAATTTATGTAATACTAAATGTTTTTCCCTGGTGTCCTTTACAGCCACCTACTGGAAATGCTGCAGTACTTGTCTTGAATCATGATTGCAGGGCTAGAGTAATGAAAGCTCAATACGGTTTTCTATGACCCCCAAAAATGACAGCAGACAAGTCACATGCATAAATCATGATGATTAAATTACTTACTAAAAAAAACCACAGCAAATTTTCCCTATTAGAAAGCTTACTTTGGAAGATTAAAATGAAAACAACACACACACCTAGATTGTACAGATAAAACCAGGTATTTATGAACACTGAAGTTAATTAGATGGAAATTCAGTTTTCAGACTGAAGTGCAATTCCTTTTTTTTTTTTTTTTTTTTTTAAGCAAGTGAGATACAGATAAGAAGCCATATGGTTCTCATAAATACAAAGCAAAAAGTCTTCCAGCCACTGTATTGTGATGTTTCATGCAATGGCAATAGAAGCAAACAGTTAAGTCTGAAAAAATTGTGGAGTAAGTCACCCTAGTATCATCTGATCTACAATCAACACTGCTACATAGCAGATCAGTTTGGACTTCTTTGAGAATCTTACCATAGAGACAAAGTAGAATCTCAGTTTGCTTTTGGACCTGCTGCGACAGAACTTGATGCCTTTTTTACAAACATGAGACTGGCAGCAATATATTAAGTTATATATATCAATATCTATCAAGTTGAATTCAAAAAAGCCAGAGCCAGTTTCCACAGTCTTAACAAACACTTCGTTTTCCATGTTTAATGACAACTGAAAATAATGTTAACTTTCCATTTTTCCTTATTTCACAAAGGTGTCTGTTTAATAACTAATATTTTTTACTAAGAGGGCAAAGTAAATAACTATTAGTGTATTTCTTCATATGACCGAAAGGTAAGGAAGGACAGACTGATGAAATGGTGTATGAACGAACGTGAGAGAAGACAGATACTGAAAAACAGAAGAGTGCTGTGGAATCTGTACATGTTGAAGACATACGACTTCATAAAAGAACAGATTAAGTACCTTGAGAAAATACATCCCTTCATAAGAAATAAATAAATACAAATTTTGCTGTGAAACTATCAGAGCAGGTTATTAACTCAACATTAAAATTCATAATTTACAGCCACACAAAATAAAAATTGCACCAACTCTTTCCTCTCTTCTTAAAGCTAACTAAGATTGTTTTTGTAGTTTTAAGCAAAAGGTTTAAGTAAAAAAAGTTATCAACTTAGCATCTGAAAAATTTTGGGACAGCACTAACATCTTACCTCTGCAACCTCCTTCTGAAAAGTCAATGTCATCTGTGTTCTGCCATAAATAAAAGGTCCGTCCTTTTTGGAAACATTATCGAGCCATTTGATGATTAGTGGAGTTGAAACACTGAAGGGCAGATTCCCAATTATATGTATATCTGGTGGCTCTGTTAATATTTGATGGAAGAAAAACAAGTGTCAGAAAGTTGTGGATAAGTTTTTGCCATGAAAGAAAATGTAAGAAAGACAGACAGAAGCATAATCAACCTAGACTCAAAATACAAAAACAATTCTTATAATGCCACGCCAAAATTATGCCTTTCCATTCATACTTGTCTCACACTGACAAAACCTTGTTACTATTCTCAGTAATCAGCTGGAAAAAAAGTGGTTAAGTATAGTTCTCATTTACATTTGAATAAATCAGTATTTCTAGCAGATTTTTCAGCTGATCAGTAGATTCCAGCTGAACTCAAAATAGCAAAACTGTAACAACAGTAAAACTGCATCAGTGCTTCCATCATTTGAAACTGTAACTATTAGGTATGGAATAAATAGCCAGACTCATCCTTCTGTCAAACACCTTACCCAGAGGCATTTTACTGAGTCTTCATAAGGCCCCAAACTATCATCTAGCTCAAACTGGACAGAGCTCTCCTGCATAGAATTCTTTGAAATCGAAAGGTCTTAGAGCAATTACAAGACATAGCCATAAGAAGTGGTATGTATTGTTCAATTATGTATCTTATCAATATGTATGTACTGTACAATACAAAGCAGGCATTTCACTTGTGGGCATCCTTATGTCTAAGCAGGAGTGCAAAAGAAGTGGACAAAAAAAAAAAGCAAGTGTGTTGTTTCTTAGATACTACATATTGACTAACATGAATAAGAGATGATAATATCAAATTCAAACTGGTTGTCTGCCACACATATTATGCATTTCTTAGGCTCTGCTATTTCTAGTATATTTGGAATAGGACACATAACAGAGATGTCTAACTATCCTTCTGAAACCCACCAGCCTTTTAGATTTTCGTAAGAATTGCACTACACCTTCAGATATATATTTGCTCTTAGCTTTCTTTCATGAATCACTTACACTTTGCAATGACGCAAAAAGGTATGGAATTTTTTAAGGTGAACATAATGCTGCATTGTTTTTTATGTCCTAAGTCAGAAAGCAGTTTACTGCTCTTCAGGCACTGCAGTCAGTGATTCCACCTTAAATTAAGGAATTTAGAAAAGGGACCTGGGAGGTCATCTCTGATTTATCTAATAATATGATGTGACTTAAAAGGAAGGTGAAATCAAGAATCTCAGGTTTGAAAAAGAAAAAAACAAAACCCCACATCTCTGATTCTACTTTTGCCAAAGATACGCAACTGCAACCAAAGCAATAAGAAAAAAAAAAAAGTTTGTAGGACAAATTTCCTAAAAGTCTCAAAGCAAGTTACATAAATTTCTTCAGTGGGACAATAGGGGTGGCTTATAGCTTCTTCAGAAAGAGGAAGAAGCTATGAATAAAGTATACCATTTGTTTGCTTTTATACTTTCCAAAAGTCTTTATTCTACAGTCAAGGCACTCTAAGGTTAATAACTGCAAAGCTGCTCCATGTTCACTATGGTGAACACTACATCGATTGTGACAAGGTGACTGACTTTTGTCATAGAAGAGGACGATTCTCTGTTTCCTTATAGGAAGGAAGGAAGCCAGGTCTTCTCTCTCTTCTTACCTTCAAAAGGTACCAGAAGAGTAACACCTGCACTGAGTGAACTCCAACTGTATGACCACACAAGACTAACTCAGAAGCCTTAATAAATTAAATAATCCAAACCAAAATACTAACCATCCTCCCAGTTCCTTTTCAAGTGCTTTGGAAAAGCCTTCTCCATCTTGTATGTCAGGATATCTCCATGAACAATACGCACTTTTCCTGGAGCTGCTTCGGATAACATCTGTAAGTAAGCAAACAGAATTCACAGTATTAACCAAATTGACTCCCAGTTTCAGCCATAGCTGGAATGGGACTATTGCTATGTATTTATCTTCAGTATACAAAGAAGCACAACAGCAGTTAAAACTGAGCATACTATTAGTAAGTCTTTACTTCCAAAAAGCAAACACTAACAAAAAAAAAGATTATTGTGCAGTTCTGTAAAAGCTACCATTCACAGCTGTAGAATTCTTAATAGGGAATTAAAATATGAGAAGATTGCTAAAAGCCTCTTTAAAAATGATAATTAACAAACCCTGGGGCCACTAATAGGACCCTATCTGACTTAAGCAATAATTCAAGCAGCAGGTTTTGTAAAGGTCTTAGATCCATTACTGATGGAAGTGAGGCTCATGTTGTTCATCTGTCTCCCCCACAGCTACAGGGTTTATTATCCAATTTTAACCATATATGACAAAGGGCTACAGAAACACTCAGTTTTGATTTTAGATAAAAAAAGGAGGGAAAGATCTTCTTAATACTCCCTGTAGTAGTTTGAGCTCACACCATTAGAAACCAAGGAGTTCCCAAAAATGGGAGAATGAGTACCAGCAGCAGCAGATAAAAATCTTGAAAATTTGTATCTTTCTGTTATCAACTTCTCTATTCCGCTTCTGCAGTTCATCTAAGTATTTAGTAAAGGCTGAAATGCAAACTCAGAACCAGCTGTAGTTTGATGACATTTCCTGGTGTCAGCTTACACAGTCACAATTAGTTAAGTTTTTTACTGTTGTAGTAAAAGATTGGATCAGATGATCCTTGAGGTCCCTTCCAACCTGGCATTCTGTGATTCTGATTCTGTGATAACCTTTCTCAGCATGACACTATGCTCAATTCACTAGCAAAGATGAAATTTGGGGGATATTTATTGTTCCTAAGCCAGAATAATGAAAAATCCTTCAAAGAACAATTTTGCTTTTGCACAGAAACCCAAATCCATAAACAGCTAAGTTGCAGCGGCTTTTCTGCTGAAATAAACTGCTCACCATTGTTAGTTCCATCTTCAGTCTGAATCACATTTATATGATCAGGGACGCAACTTTTACAGCTCTCTGAGCTGAAGGAAAGTGCTGCTTTCTCATCCTGACCACAAAATATTTGCATGATTTTTTTTTAGTAGAAGTGGGGTGATTTTACCATCAAAATAGCTAAATTTTCTGTAGAGTACTAATAAAAAAAACCAACACAACCTTAACTAAAGACTAAGTGTTCCTACATGTTTTAATTATTTCCAAAGAGAAAAAATAAATCTAACTTCAACTCAAAACCACTTAACGGATTTTTCAGCATTACACAAGCAGTTATATGGCATACAAATTCACTCATCTGCCACAATTTGTCAGATCTTTCTTTTAAGCTGTTTTAATTGCTGTAACAGGAATGAAAGATAATGTAAGATCAATAAAGTTAGAAAACAGCATAAGAGGAAACAGCTGCCTACACAAAAATGGATTCTTAACGTATGTTACAACGTTTTTTAATAAGAGTTTTCAAGTTAAGAGGAGTTTGGGGGTTTTTGAGTATCACAACGTAATTGAGAACAACATTTAATTTCTGAGCAGAACATCACAGTTGTGTATTTCCCATTTGAACTAAAACCAGAAACCCACAGAAACTTTCTCCATTTTAAGGCCAGTATGTGCAGCTAACATAGTTCCAGAAGCTCTTGTGCACCAAGCACACAAGCCATACAGATCCTCTCATCCTACACACACAACCAAAATGGCATGACGAAAACATAAAGGGCATAGTTTAGTAAATGAAATGGTGCTCATGGAACTATTTTACATTAAATTCATTCTCTGCCTGAGAGTGCCATTCTCTCCTCTTAAATCTTTGCAGCCTAACAACTATTAGGGCATATGGCATAGAAAGGCTGTGATTCTTTAAGAGTGAGATAGAACAGACAGACTCTCTGCTTGTGTAAACTGTTACTCTGTACACATATGTTCTCCACTACATTTCTCTTTTGCAGTAAAGATGATCCCAACTTCAGTCCTGTGACAAAGACCACAGCCTGAAAAACAGTTAATGAAAAATGATGTACACCTTACATCAGTAGTCCCCAGTTGTTATTTTAACCTGGTATTTTCTGTCATTCAAATCTCAAACCTTTTATAAGCATTTGATTTTATTAGAGCTTTTAATCAGAAACTGGAAGAAAATAGGTATTACAATCCACATTATCACAAAGAAATATTCATTCTGTTATGGATCATCTTGCATGGAGGTAAAAAAACAACTCCAAATTTAAAACCGATGGATGCAACATATTTCTTGTTCTTTCGCATCCACTGTTAGACTTACAGTATCTTTCTATTCAATAACCTCATTCAAACATATTTATTCCTACTGTGAAGAGGTTGCTAATTAAAAATAACTACTAGCATTAATTCACTTGACTAGCAAAGATAATTACATATCAAAAGCTCATTATAGACCTGAAAAATATACCTTTATTCAGAGAAACCTGTTGTAGTGGCTGCATTTTGGAAGAAAAATTGTTTAAGTACTTATAAAGTTATGTTAACTGCAGTAAGTATAGTTTAATCTCAAATTCTCTCAAATCCAAAAACAGTTTTTAAAATCTAAAACAAAAATGCAGGTTTGCCACCACTCAAGAAAAGTGAAAACATATGTTTTTCATACTCTGTAAGATGGCATACTGAAAATTAGCAGTGACTAACCCTACAAAGACAATTACACGCATATTCAGACTTAAGGATGTGTGCAGTTTCATTTCTATCTTACATTACTTTTGCCCTACAAAGAGATGGTACCAGTTCTCAACTACCTATTTATTTTCACAGCTGATTTACTACAGGATAGTGCAATACATAAATCCCTTTGAATTCCTATAATTTGAGGTTGCAAAGGCACAAGAAAACAGCCAATCTAAGATTTTGGACGCTCTTTTTCTTGCTAGATTCATGCAGCCAAATTGCATAAACATGGAAACTTAGTAGCAATACAAGTAGCTGGTATTTAAAAAATGCCAGTGACTGGTGAACTTCTACCAACTGCAAAAGAAATAAACAAATGTTTAAGAGTGCTTTTTTGGGGAATGTAAAATAAATGCTTGCTTTATTCTGCTATATCTGGATGTTAATCTATGTTACATTATATAAAATTGAGATATATGTTCACAATTTTGTAAGCTTTGAAGCATAATTATTAGGATTAAAATTAAAAATAAGAACAAAGAACATGACATTCAGCCTTCTAACTGCTCTTTTACCTGCATGGATAGACTTTTCAAGCACCTGAAACATCTCAACCTGAAAAAACATAGGCAGGTCTTAACCTTAATCCAGTTGCAGGCTCAGGCCCTGAAGAGACAGTGATTACTTAAAAGAAAAGGCATATGAAAAAGCAGGAGCAATTAATAGTTACACTGTGTATTTTCACCTTCAAGCAAATTATAGGTCTAATTTAAGTCCAAGAAGGAAACCTATTTTCAATGCTGAGATCTCCACAAAACACTTGGAATCTTTCAACTTTCTTATAAAGTTTTTACTCAGTGTTGTTAATGTATTATGCAACCTATTCCCCAGATGGTACCTGCAACCCTGGAACAAATCGAGCATCTTTTTCAATTAAAAGGAGCTGTTCAACACCAGCACTGAGAATGGATCTGGTAATTCCTCCTGGCCCAGGGCCCACTTCGCAAACATGAGCATTTTTCAGGTTGCCAGCTTGTTTCACTATCTTGTCTGCAAGACACAAAGAACATAGTAAGCCTTTATTCTCCAGAAGATCCAGCTCTCTAAGATAAACTCATCGTTTATTGGTAAAGCACAAGTGTGCTTATCACAGAACAGACAGAGTGACACATCCCAGTTAAATGGCCACATGCCTGCTCAACTGCACAGACTCAGGATATGTTTCATACAAGGTACGCTCGACTGGTTAAAAAAAGATTATTTTCAGCTTAATGTCTTTAACATACATTGTTGCTCATTGCAGAACCAAAAAAAAATAGAATATTAGCTGTCATCTGTAAACTGGCAGTACTATTCTCCTGCAAGTAAGCATCTGTATTCCATGTCCTAAAGTCTCACTACTTATCCTTATAAAGGTATTTCATTACAATAAATGATTCAAGGAAAATTTAAGAAGGAAAAAAGATACGGTACCTTCTATGATACATAATCTTAAAAAAAACACTCATTTTAAATCAAACTTATAAACTACAATAGTACTTTGCAGAAGTACTACTAAGGCTTGGATTTTTGCTTCTAAATCAACAAGACGTATTTTATAAAAAAACAGTTTCTACCTGTTTCTCTAGAATTTATAAAGAAACATATTTTCTAGGAATTACCAAGTAGAATTAATTTCTCTAAGCTAATGCTACTTTCAAAACAAGTCTTTAAAGGTTTACCATTGAGCTACCATTAGTAGACAAATATCAGCATGCAAACAATCTCCTTAGCTAGAATCTGAATTCTGAAGAAAACCAGGATAACATATTTTATAGCCGCTAAAAATATTAGAATAAAAAAATGTAACCTGTCAATCGCAAATCCAGTAGAAAGTTCTGGGAAAGCTGCTTCTGTGCTTTAAGGCGAAAAAGTTTTATAATCTCTCCTACAGTTGGCAGGGGAGGCAGACGGAAAGCTGCCACCTTTCCTGGAACAGCCATAAGTCAAAACTTGCTCCTTCCTCCTAGAGAGACAGTGAGAGGATGATTCTAGTATGTGCGATAAATTCTAATGTATTTAATATTAAAAATGCTATTACATTTCCAAACCAAGGCACGTTTTACAAATCATTACACAAGTGCTAAATTTTGAGCCACTGTTCACTTGTCTGGTCTATGCAGTGTTTTATGCTCAGCATGTATTTGTGGCATATGGGAAAGTATCCTTTTGTAGCTTTGCCAGAACATCAGGTAAAACAAAACCCTCTCACATTGTTCAATGTCAACCTTTCACTGCGTTAGAAAAGGAGAACATTACGGATAATCTGCTTGAAGTCAGAGGATAAAGGTATTTAATTAATGTATCCCTAAAGAAAGATTGTTTTCACTAGTCATCAGCTGCTTTTTAGGCAGACATAAGGACAGAAATCCCAAGCGTAAACAACAGCGTAACTGAATGAATGTAAATAAATAGACCTTTTAACTTAAGGGCAGAACGTTTCGCCCCCCTGTGCCAGCACCCGCCTCCCACCGCAGCCCTCGGGGACGAGGCTCCGCACCAAGCACTCACTGCCAGGCAGCAGGGCCTGCAGGCCCCGCG